TTTGAGAGCAACTGTATTCTTGTAAGAAGGAGCCCACTAGTAGGTGACACCATCCTTTTCGTCCAGAACCATAACACTAGGCAGCTACGAGACGATATTATAAAGCCACCAGGAGGTGCTGATGGGTTTTAGAGCTGTGAATGATAGACTTGTGAGTTCTCATTAAAACTGTAAACCAGGGCCAACAACATGCAATGGGTGACATGGGCCTTTGCAGCCTCCCATCCCTACTTCCAGCAAGCACCAGCAAGAAATTTGCTGTTGCCATACATGCGCAAACACATATGCAGCCTCCTTTCATAGTGAAAGTAATGACAGGCTTTTTACTCTGCTAGTTAGCAGGTGGCTATGCCATATGTTTGCAGCGCCTGCATTGGAGGAGGGACCTGTGGTGGAAGTACTCAATTTTTGGCAGCGGCAGCAGTGGTACAGCCTCAAGGAGTTGGACAGGATGTGGCCTCGGACACTGGGAAGCCTTGCTTTAATCAGCGCTGGGCTAGAGGTTCTTCCTGCTTCAGCTCAGCCTTCTTCCCCAAGGCCGAGCTGCGCAGATACTCATCAGAGACTTGAGCATTCATAAGCCCAATACTTTATGCAAAGACAACAGAAAGAGCCAATTTGGCTTCATCACACAAGCACCGTATTACTATTAAAAATAGACACTGCTGTGAGGAGAGGTGGGTGGGAAGGAGGTGGTCGGAAGAACCTCTGCAGCTGCGCTGGAAAATCTGCCCATGTGTGTCTGCGTTCTTGGTAGACATTAACGTAAGCGATTGCTCAGGAAGTCTTCAGGCGCTAGTTCTGCGACAGTCTGGCAACTAGTTTAGAAATGACTTTAACCATCTTTGAAATTATTCATTTCCTATTTGAACAGATCTACAACACTCAACATCATTAGCATCATGATAACTGCAAACCAGAGTTAACAGGAAAGCATCTCAGAAGCAACCTTCTTTATCTAGAATACTTTCTTCCAAAATGGAGAGCCAATTGTGGAAACCCGGAGCACAAGCACTGATGATGCCTGGGTGGACTGCCTTTTGAGGCAGGCTGAGAAGGAGGCATGTCAACAGTATAGTGCTCTCACGATGCTGTAGGTATACTGCACACTATGGGAGGGCATCATATACATTACCAACTCCTTTCATAATCACTTGTGTGTCAATAGCAATTATTTTGCATTACATATTTTGGGTCTTGCAAAAGTGGAAAGGCTGTAATATTTTGTGAGCCGTCCACATGAGATTTCAACCACTGGCCTTCTGGTTTACAGCTCAGTCCGGTTATTACAACGCTATCTATGCTCTCAATACATTGAGATTTCCAAACTTCACTAATGGCATTCTTTATTTCGGCTAATTTCTCAATTACAAACAGTAGACAAAAACAGATCCGAATGAATGATTCCCCCTTCCCAAGGGTAGCCTTCCCTTCTCTTATCATAAGCCATCTAAGGCTCTTTTTCTCTTATTCTGAAATCCAAGTCTCCCAAAAAAGAGCAAAATTGCAAAGCAGACTTATATGTATCTTAAGTATGCAAACTGAGACTTTCCCCTTGACAAGCATTGCAAATCTCAAATTCTGCACGCAAGTGTCACTGATCAGTCTCAGAAATCATTTACTACGGATAGGTACACCTGCCGAAAGGGCTGGCAAAGGCCATAATGGCAGCCCAGCTGGCGCTGTGGCAATAAAGAGAGTAACAGCACCTCTTCTAAGACAGTGGTCTCCAACCTTGTGCCTCCAGATGTTCTTGGACTACAACTCCCAGAAGCCTCCACCACCACCTCTGCTGGCCAGGATTTCTGGGAGTTGAAGTCCAAGAACACCTGGAGGCCCAAGGTTGGGGACCACTGTTCTAAGGTACAGTACATCTATCTGTTAAGCAACCCTGACAAACAATGTAACAGAGAAGAGATTTTTATGGAAAGAAAGAACGTTTGAGGCAAGGCTATTTGGCCTCAATTTGAAAAAGAATAGTTAAAAGCACCCTCCCCCCATAGGAGTTATACAATGGGAGAGGTTATCACTCATCACTAACTTTGTTTTAAACAATATAAAATACGTGACACCTACACTCACACCCAGGTCTCATGCAACCACATTCCACAAAAGTGTTCCTTTGAGGTAAGATGTGTGGGAAGACAAATGCAGATTTAGGGAACATTAAGACTGCAGGTGGAGAGCGAATTTCTCACAAAGAGTGGCAGCTGAACCCATCACTGGCAGAACACTGGGAGAGCACAAGATCAACATGGTTTTCCATGAACATTTTGTGGTCCAGCTGGACAATGAAAACAAACCATATGTCTGATAAGTGATCAACATGGTTTTCCATGAACATTTTGTGGGGTCCAGCCGGACAATGAAAACAAACCATATGTCTGACAAGTGACTTGTGAAGGTCAGATCTTTTCCCCCA